ACTGTAATCCAGAGACACGACGGACAAACTTCTGTGCAGCAAGAACAAATCCTAGAGCGCAACCCACCATAGATCGCTCACAAGGAATCCTGCGAGATATGCAGGTACCGCCACTCATCGTACCGATGGAAATCGATGACATCCGGACCTTCTCCGCACCATCACCAGCCCGAGATTTCCCCGCGATGGAATACATGGGGGCTGACGCCTGCTCCGCCATTGGGAACGAGAAATTTCCCGAAATTCCCCACATCACGTTCTCCTCTTTGCAACTTCGAGCAGAGAAAGGAGGGACCTTCCCCAAAGAAAAGAAATCCCGGCGTAAAGGGCGGAGGAAGAGGAGGAAACCCTTTGTGTTAAGGACAGATAGCAGCTACGCACTAGGAGCAGCTCCACTCTAGGGGGAGGCCACCAACGAACTCCCTGTAAAATACGCTAGCCGCTTACTCACGAGCGCCGACAGGAAGTACACCGTGCAGTCGCGAAGACCCGCACACCAGTACCAACCCGGAGATCAAGTACTAGTGGTAACCCATCCACTAAGCAACGTTCGAACAGGAGTCAGCGCCAAATTTGCTCCTAAACGCGAGAGGCCTTACATTAGGCGCCCACAAGGACGTACGAGTTATGAGGTATACGACGCACAGCATCCCTAGATGTCTACCATACTCCGTTTCACGGGAGCACTACACCTACGCCAGTGCCGGTGGCCCCACTACGAAAACGAGGCCGCCTCAGAAAGAAAGTTCAGGACCATAGTCGGGACGCCTTAATGGTCCTGAGGGGGAGATTATAGCGGAGCTTTCAAAGCGCTCCGCTAGTACCCTCTCGAGGTCGCTGTTTTCGGCAGCGCCGGAATCAACCCCACTAAGCTCACCCCCACTGGAACGCACCCCACTTGAAGCTGCGTCATTATACAGGTACTCCCACGCATCTCAACCCTGCCTATAAAAGGGACAACGCGATCACTTTTCAGGCTGATGGAACTCCACCATCTCCACCTTAAGGGCTGCACTGTCTAAGTCCTCTTCTGGTCGTCACCAGGGCTGCACTGTTTTACGGTCCCCTGCGCCGCTTTAATGACGTCATCTCCAGGGTCGCACTGTCCAGGTCCCCTGTGCCTCACCGCCGACGTCGTCATCTCCAGGGTCGCACTGTCCAGGTCCCCTGTGCCGCATCGCCGACGTCGTCATCTCCAGGGTCGCACTGTGCAGGTCCCCTGTGTCACATCCCAGGCAACATGATGTCGTCTTTTTCACGTGAATAAATGGTCATCAATTACGTCATAGTGACCAAAGATTTCACGTGATATTGACGTACCAATGACGGTCAAATGTCTCGTCCAGATGACGTCATTTTCTGACGAACTATTGACGTGATGTACTGACGTTTTATAGACGGCATTTATTGTCCATTTTAAGAGGTTTTTTATACTTATTTTGATTTTTAGAAAAAAACATGCAATAAATAAAACGCTGAAATACTTTTATATTTTTATGTTATTTACCTTAAATAAAATATTATAATTCGTTATAATCACCAGGTAAACCCCAAAACAATATATGTATTAATTAAAGTTAAAACAAATTAGTGTAAAAAAATTAAATTTACTACAATTCTGTACAACCAACAATGAACTTCAATAAACAAATAAAAAAATATATGTCAATTAAACAAATTAATGATAAACTACTTTTAAGAACACAAACAAATCTACATACAGGTAATTACCAGTCAAATTACTATAAACAAAAAAAATTGGTCTAAAGAGTTTAGACAGTACTTCCCTCGCTGTCGGAAACTTGACGACTGCATGCCTATTGTGTTTTTTTTCTCATTACATTTTTGTAGTGGGAATTTAAAAAAAAATTGCGATGACGTCATCAACATTTTTGCAAGGACACGTATATCAGTTGGGATAGATGTAGTGTAATACTAAGAATAAAATTATTGTATTCCCAAATTTTCGGGAAAATGAATTGGGTCGTTTTGAATATTGATTTGTTATAATCAATAAAATAACGAAACAATTTACTCACGTATACGGCGCCGGTGTGTAATATGTAGAGAGCGGATTTCTGTCGGGCTAGGCAAGGCCAAACTCGGTACGGCTCGTACAGGATGCGAATTCATTGCGGTTACGGACTGCACTTCGTTTATTTGAGATTAGAATAACGCTGTTTCGTTGCACTCTGCCGTTAATTCCCGTTCTCATTTACTTAGCCGTTTGATTAATAAATCGTTAATTATATTTATGGAATTAGTACCGATTAAATTCAGTGATTATCTATCACCCGCTACTGAGTCCCGGCGATCCAGCGCGTCCCCACCTATAATCGTGACGTAGCCCGACAGAAATCCGCTGTCTAGTAATATGAGAGGCAACTGAAAATCGTTTGTGTATAAACATTCTTAATTTAAGATGACAAGCGTAACAGCATACGTGAGAGTCAAACAGAGAAACTGTAAACAAAACGACCATCGGTTTTATTGCTTCGACTTCCGGTTATTATATAAAACATTGGGTTTTATTTTAATTCTTGACGGTGAAATTCACAATTGGTTGATTATAAACATGTCTATTCCACATTCGCGGAACCAAGTGAGCGCATAAAACAAATGCAGGTCTGTAATGTTAAAGTCGATGTAAATAAGCGTGCTACCCTTATGTTTCAACCGAGTTTTTCCTTTAACAAATTTTGTGTCTACTAAATTGGGTTGGTCCAATGTAATACTAATAATAAGTGTTGCCTTTAATTTAATCAATAAAACGAGAAAACGTAAAAGTAGAGAGTCGGCCGACGGACTCGATTACAATACTTCCTTTGCTTACGCTCGGGAAGTAATAAATTGACTTCATTAATTTTTTTGAACCACCTCTTAAGAAAATCTAAAAAATATGAATGGAATGATAAATCACAAGTACAAAAACTCATCATATTTTTTGCATTTTAGATAGGATTTATTCAGCAAAATTTAAGGGTGACGTCATCAATTTTTTTAGGAGGGATGAACAAATACATTTTGAACAAAAGTTTACCATGCTTATAATAACTTTAAAATATCTCCAAGATTTCAAAGCATTCGGTTTTGTAATTCCTGCTTAAATCGATAAAATAAATTCACGCATTCATTAATTTTTTTGAGTCACCCTGCATATGCAAATCCAAAAATATGAATGGAATGATAAATCACAAGTACAGACTCATCATATTTTGTACATTTTAGATTCGATTTATTCGGCAAACTTTTGAGCTAACGTCATCAGTTTTTTGTAGAAGATAACCAAATATATTTTGACTAAAAATTTATTATGCTCTTTATAACCCTAAAACATCTGCAAGATTTCAAAGCATTCGGTTTTGTAGTTCCTGATTAAATCAATAAAATAAATTGACGCATTCATTAATTTTTTTGAGTCACCCTGTATATGCAAATCGCAAAAATTTGAATGGAATGATAAATCACAAGAAGAGACTCACCATATTTTGTACATTTTAGATAGGATTTATTCAGCAAAATTTTGTGGTGACGTCATAAATTTGTTAGGGGGGACGACCAAATACATTTTGATCAAAAATTTACCATGCTTTTGATAATTTTAAAATATCTTCAAGATTTCAAAGCATTCGGTTTTGTAGTTCCTGAGTAAATCAGTAAAATAAATTTACGCATTCATTAATTTTTTTGAGTCACTCTGTATATGCAAATCCAAAAAATATGAATGGAGTGATAGATCACAGGTACAGACTGATCATATTTTGTACATTTTAGATATGATTTATTCCACAAACTTTTGAGCTGACGTCATCAAGTTTTTGGAGGGGATAAGGAAATATTTTTTGACTAAAGATTTATGATCCTCTTTATAGCCTTAAAACATCTGCAACATTTCAAAGCATTCTGGTTAGCAGATTAAAAATTAAATTTCAAAATGTTGTTTTATAATTTTGATTTTTTTTCCAAAAATCTGGACGTTTGGGGTGAAAAGTCGATTCGGAGTTGTAAACTACATGTTTGGGACTATGTTATTTTATACAATTGAAAACCCATTTACTATGTACAATTTTAAAGTGCCGTCATCGCATTAGTGGTGGGGATGATTAGACAAATTTTGGTTAGCGTTTTACCATCTACATGATATTCTTAATATAAGTACAAAATTTCACAACAATCGGTCGAGTACTTTCGGAAATTATCTGTCTAATAAAAATCCGGGACGGCAAATGGACAGACGGACGGACAGACAGACGGAAATGGGAGACCTATTTCTTCGTCTTCTAGGGGTCATGAAAGATCGAGAAAACGTAAAAGTAGAGAGTCGGCCGACGGACTCGATTACAATACTTCCTTTGCTTACGCTCGGGAAGTAAAAATTTTGCCGGTGATCCGAAAACATATGTATATTTGTAAATAGAAATGCGGTTTATAGCAGAAGCTACAAAAGAAGAATAAATTCAGGAAAAGACCAGTACAGGGCACGGTTGATAAAACCGTTAATTATTAATTTAGAAGAGTCGAGTGATGATGACAGTGACTATTTCGATCAATAAATAAGTAGTAGTAGTTAGTAAGTAAATAGTTGTGTATGTCAAAATTCTAACTAATTTGCTGTAATAAAAAATGATTAAGTACAAAGTTACTTTGTTTTTACCTAAAATAAAAAAATCGAAAGGCGCAGTTGTCGGTAAATGCCAAACTCAGTCCTGCCCTGTGCTTTTACCAGAAAAGGTCTTTTCAGGTAGGTATCGATGAGCGGGTTTAAGACATCCGGCTCTGACGGTCTATTGGATTATAATGGGAGTCAAATTGGTGTGAAGCCATAAATGCCTTAAATGTTTGAGGGAAGTCTAGCTTTAATACAAACAACTATTTCATTTGTCGTCTGTACCCATTCTACTGCGTCCACTTCTTATATCCATATACAACTGAATGTCATTCATTAACTGATCACTATTCAGATTATATACATAGACTGAATAAAATACAAATAAAAAAAATTGTTGTGAAGAGCATTTTATTAAGTAAAAAATTTAGACAATATTAGAAATTATAAACAGGGAAAGACAGACGGTCACACTGTCCTGAACCTTTTGGTATAAAGATTGTTAAAAATACAAAATGAAAATATTAATTTACTACTTTTAGTATCAAGAATAGTACAAATAAAGTGTTGAATAAACAATCAGATAACCTAATGTACGCTTACTGAAAACATGCTACACCCCTCACTTTTTACAGTTTTCTTTTTTCAATAACAAAATATTTGAAATGTTAGATGTATGCAAAAATTTGTTACCCAAAAAGTAAAAAATAAATTAGATCGCATGTATAAGGTCATATCCAATTTTAACATACATCCAACACAATGACGTCATATAAATAACCCCCCCTCGAATAAAAATGGAAAACAATTGAGTCTTTACGTTTTCGTAAAAATTCACCAATGTGAATATATACATACAAGTTTTTGCAAAATTCATAATTAGTACATTTTTCAACAATACTGTAACAAAATACTTGAATCAAAAATAATGAATAATTTTTGACATCCACCAAAAAATAAAATGAGCAAGTTAAAACAAGGTCCTGAAAGAGCTACCTTCCACAGACCAACCTTTTTTGCCCTCGTCGACAAGCATTCGCGAAGTCATAATTCAGAAGGTTAACTGAATATGATCAGAATCTCCTCAATAACGCACAAACAGAGCAAACGGATGTGCTCATTATTCATGTTTCCTCCCTAAACCCGAGTCACATTTTTAGCACTCTGGAGTCTTGTTTCTCAGTTTTTGCACATATTACAGTCTACCACTTTCAACACTGTTCAACTTAAGTCCAAGTATTAAACTTCTTATCACCAAATTCAGCACACCACAGTGAATTTTTTACGGAACCATCAAATTTGTGGAGATTCGGATGTTAAGAAACAAATTTGATGGTTTAGCAAAGTTATAGATAATTAAAAATTTTGTGGAGGTAGAATCCCATGGGTAACAAGATCTGCGATTCTAACACCAAGACCTAAATTAGATTTATTACGTGAAACATGTCACTCACCATGGTGTGTCTAGAATTTCAAGAAATTTTCTTACTTTATTTTAAATAATAACGCCGTATCACCCATTTTCGCCAGAAACACATTATTATTTTTTCACAAATTTCAGTATAAAAAAGTCTTTGAACGCAAATTTAAACTCTTTAGAAAAAAAATAATAAAAGTACGTTGTTTTATATATACAGTTACTTCTTTATGTGTAGTTAACTTTTATTATACATCGCGTTACTTCGCATTCTCTTCTGGAGTGTCTTCGTCGTCTAACAGCTTAGCCACATACAGTTTAGGATCAATCACTTTCGGAATTGGTTTAATTTCTGTTCCCAGTTCCTGTTCAATACGATGTAATGCGAACCTATCATCATAGGTAATTAAGTTGATGGCAATACCCAAGTGTCCGAATCGGCCGGATCTGCCTATACGATGTAAATAAGTTTCAGCCATCTTCGGAAAATCAAAGTTGATGACAACATTTACCGCTTGTACATCAATGCCTACGAAAAAAATATAAAGATTTTGAGTATCATTTAATTACATCTTACCTCTTGTAAACAGATCAGAACAGACTAGATTTCGACAGAGACCAGCTCGAAAATCATGAAATACCCTATTACGATGGGCTTGGGCCATTTTAGCATGGATGTAATAGCAACAATAACCAAGTTCTGTAATTTTTTTCGCCAACAATTCCACACGTTGAGTCGAATTACAAAATATTATACTTTGGTTTATTTGTAACTGAAAAAAAAAGTTAAATGTAATATATGAATATATATACGTATGTGCATAGATACCTTTGAGAACAGAGTATTTAGACAGTGTACTTTCTGACGTTCTTGAACGAACGCATAATATTGCGTTACACCTTTCAGCGTGAGTTCTTCCATAAGATTGATCTCATAAGGATCCCTCAAGTGTTTTCTCATAAACTGTTCAACTGTGAGAGGGAACGTGGCAGAGAAGAGCAGAATTTGTCTCTCTTGTGGTAGATTCTTTATCACAGTATCGAGCATCCCCTTGAAGTCTTGTGACAACAGCTTATCAGCCTCGTCTAAAACAAGTATCTTGCACTGGTCCATGACGGCCACACCTTTTTCCATCAGATCAAGAATGCGACCAGGAGTTGCTATAATAACTTGAACTTTCTGATAGATGCGCATTATGTCGTCCCTTAGGTTCGTACCACCAGTAGTTACCATTACACGAACGTCCAAATGTTTCGCTAGTTCGATGCATATTTGTGACGTTTGTAATGCCAGTTCTCGTGTAGGCACTATTATCAGTGCTTGAATACAGTCTTTTTTAGGGTCGATCTGTTCCAATACAGGGATACTATACGCACCAGTTTTACCTAAAGAAAAATTTGTAATAAAGATATGTAGAAAATATGTTGTTATGTATCAATTAAATTCAGAACAAGTATTTCTTAATAAAATTCGCTTTGAGGTAGGATGAAATGCCAGCAACACAACAATACAAAAACGCACTGAAAACGCTGATACACAGCACAAGTTTACTTGCATCAAAATTGATAAATACTGACTGGCAAAAAAAAAACGGCCACTGAAATATTTCGCAAAATCGCTTAAAAGTTATTAAAATATGTATCTAGTGATTGTTATTTTATTTGAGAACCATTCACTGTCCACACATGATATGCAAATTAGCTAGAATTAAATAAATACAATCACTAGTTAAAATATAATTTTTTAAAGTGGTTTTGCGAAACATTTCGGGGTGGTCGTTTTTTTGTGCCGGTCAGTGTAGATGTTTGTCCCCAATAACAAATTGACATTTTCACAAAAATGTATAATAAAAACCTCATTTGAAGCATGTGGCGTAACATGCTCCTTTACTCCAAGTGTTTAATAAATAGTCACCCACTTCTAGATTTTATTATTATTATATTAATCGTAACTTTCCCAACTGGATAATCCACTTAACATGGAAAGGTGAATAGAGATTAAATTTCATCAGATAAACAAAAAACAAAAAGCTCACAACCAGTGTTAATAATGCAAGAACACAATTTGTAAATTTTCAATCAATCAGAAAGTTATATAGCTCGTTGACTTCATACTTTTTGCAGAAACATTCACTTTCAAACTGCATATTCCGCTATAATGCATGCAGAAACTTTAGGAAACTTAACAGTTATATCACAGTTCTGTGATATTTTATTGAACACCCTACACATTACAACAATTGGTGACCTTTGTAATGGATTACTTTTGCAGGAGGGACAATAGAATATATCAGGTTGACGAGCATTGTACCTCGGTGTTAAAAAGCTTATTTTCCTGAGCAACCACATGCAATCAACTTCATACTTAATTAAATTTAAGAGGAATCACACACCTGAAATCAGTCTTCTCGTATTCAGGGAGATGATGTTAAATCTATTTAATAACTGTGATTGTGGGTAACCTTTTACCGGATATATTCTGTCTTCCCGAAATGTTAGGAATTTTAGAAACACTCTTTGAACAGACTCTATATTGTTAACATGGGCTTGATACACCGAGTGCCAAATAATTGAACCGTACTCCAACCTAGACCTGACAAGTCCAAGTTAAAAAAGATTTTAATGTTTTATATACTTTTTGGACATAACTTCTCAAAAATATTAACATATGAATCCATTTAGTATCTTAGAAACGGCAGATGGAAATATTTTGTTTAATTTTTCTAGTAAGGTCTAACAAACAGTAACTAAAGTCGGAAACAAAACTTAACGACAAAGAAACGTCATTTGCGTCAAAATTTTCAGGAGATTCATATATTATAAGTAGAGCTAGGCAGTTGAAACTTCAAGCGCTTCGTATTAACTCCTTCCACTGCAGACCAGTGGCTCGCAGCCGATGTTACATGTCGTGAAGAAAATTATGAGAAAAATAATATTAACTGAACATCAGTTGATGATACATGATCGTTTTCCGGGTTGGGACCGTGTTAATTGGGCACTTTCGTAAGTGGAATTTTCAGGAGCAGGGTTAAGAGATTAGGAATAAACTTAAACAAAAATATGAATGCAATGATCAATCACAAGTAAAAACTCATCATATTTTGCACATTTTGGGTGGAATTTATTCAATAAAATTTTGAGTTGACGTCATCAATTTTTTGGGGGGAATAAATCGATAGATTTTGATTAACAATTTACCATGCTTACAATAACTTTAAAACGTCTGCAAGATTTCAAGGCATTCGGTTTTGCAGTTCTTGATTTAATCAATAAAATAAATTGAGTCATTAATTATTTCTTTTGCATCATCCTGTATAAGCAAATCGAAAAAATATAATTGCAAATGCAGTAATTTCAAAAGTGTGCGGTTTACTGAACGATAAAAAAAGTAAAATAAAAATGAGAAAAGATCCTGCAAACAAAACTCAAGCGGCAGCTGCCTTTGTGCAGGTGGCTGCCTAAATGCAAGTCGTAATTTATTGGAACGTCCGGAAGTGGCCAATTTTGCATTTTGCACAATCTCGAGATCATATATGTGTCGACAACCGGTCAGCCAAAGACGAAATCATATTTTTGTAATAACCAAATTAAAAACAAATTATATAAATGCAATGATAAATTACAAGTATAGACCAGTGGCGGCTCGTGATTCTAGAGGTTGGGGGGTCAACTAAGATTGCCCCAACGACTTTATGGACAAGCCGCCACTGGTATAGACTGATCATATTTTGCACATTTTAGAGAGAATTTATTCAGCAAAATTTTGAGATGACGTATTCAATTTTTTGGGGTTGATAAACATATACATCTTGATTAAAAAGTTACCATACTTACAATAACTTCAAAACGTCAAGATTTCAAAGTATTCAGTTTTGCAATTCTTGATTTAATCATTAAAATACATTGACTCAGTCATTAATTTTTTTCAGACACCCCGCATAAGCAAATCTAAAAAATATTAATGCAGTGATAAGTCACAAGTATAGGCTCATAATGCTTTGCACATTTAAGACAGGATTTATTTAGCAAAATTTTGGAGTGACGACATTAATTTTTAGGGGGATGAGCAAATACATTTTGAATAAATTTACCATGCTTATGATAACTTTAAATCATCTCCAAGATTTCAAAGCATTCGGTTTTGTAGTTTCAGATTAAATGAATAAAATAAGTTCACGCATTCATTTTTTTAAGTTACCCTGCAAATCCAAAAAATATAAAAGGAATGATAAATTACAAGGACAGGCTCATCATATTTTGTACAATTTAATTTTGAGTTGACGTCATCAATTTCTTCGACGGGATTAAGTAAATATACATATTTTGATTAAACATTTATCATGCTTATCAGAACTTCAAAACATCTGCAAGATTTCAAAACATTCGGTTATGCAGATTCAAAATTAAATTGCGAAATGTTTTTAGAATTGTGATTTTTTTCCCAAAAATCTGGACGTTTCGGGTAAAAACTCAATACAGAGTCATAAACAACATGTGTAGGACTATGTTATTTTATACAATTTAAAACCCATTTACTATGTACAATTTTGATGTGACCTCATCACATTATTGGTGGGGATGATTAGACAAATTTTGGTTAGCGTTTTACCATCTACATGATATTCGTAATATAAATACAAAATTTGACAACAATCGGCCCAGTACTTTCGAAGATTATCTATCTAATAAGCATCCGCGACGGCAGACAGACGGACAGAAGACAGACAGACGGAAACGGGAGACCTATTTCTTCGTACTGTAGGGGTCATTAATGGTTGAGAAAACGTAAATGTAGAGAATCGGTCGAAGGACTCGATTACAATATTTCCTTCGTTTAAGCTCGGGAAGTAAAAAAGATAAAACAAAAAAAAATCAACGGCAAATAAAGCAGAGTACAAAAAGAATAGTATCAATCTCCTCAATTCTTGCGGAACACCTTGTAAATAGTAATGACTTTGAAATCAAATAGGACAATTAATCGAATCCTAAATATAACTTCAATGTAACTCACAATTTGGCTAGCCTTTATACAATCATTCCTCCGTTCTAATTTCAAATCTTATATTTTAAATTCAAGCTGAAATCTTGATTTTGCATATTTTGTTAATATAATGTAGCTACACATCCAAGTCACAAGTTTCAACCAACTCATTAACTAATTTCACTGTTTTGCGCACTGGAGAATTTATAATACATCCGTCCGAATTAGAACATACTGTTATGCCTTGAATGAATCCTAGATACATAGTAATAGAATGATAGGTGGAAAAACAGTTCAACAGTCAATATTTCCATATAGCTTTTTAACAAGAATCTCATTGCGAATACGTTCCTTCGATTTTCAAGTGTTGACAAATTAAAATATAATAACTCCGTTTGATTGAAGCCTCGGGTTAGAAAATTTGATAAATTTTCTCTTATACAAATGTTTAGTAATCGTCTCTGGATTTTTTCTGATCTAATACTTTGGGTGACGTAGTTTGTAGATCGAGGTTGGAATAAGAGGGGAGGGTGCATGTCGTATGGTTCCAATGGTCCGGTTCTGGGACAAAATCAAATACCATTTACGATGGGTGTGTCGTACAACCTATCTTTTTACCGGTACTCCATGCCGCTTATTTTGTTTCCCCACGTACTGTCTTTATACGTTTTTTTTTTTGAATACTCAACATTGTGAGCTGCAAACTTTGTAAATCATGGCATGGCAGTAAACAATGTTTGAAAGACACTTAGTTTTCGTAAGCTTCAGTTTGTTTTATCCCCATGACGAATGATAAATAATTCATTGCTCCGCCACTGGTTGGTAATACTTTTCAACCTAGAGGCGTGGTTAACTCGAGTGCATGGTCGTAAACGATGTTTAGATCCAGAGAGCTCGGTCCCACAAATTTCACCGATCATCCTGCCGTTCTTATTCCACCCTCCTCGTTGTAGACATAATATTCTAATTTAGTTCTACTAAGACCCGTAAATAGTGTTTAAATGTATTTGTGTGATGAAGGTTCTTACTATAAAGCCAAGTATTGCTTAAAATGTTGTGGTGTTTTTACAAAGCAATAAATTTGACTTTTACAACGTCTTAATTAACATTTCCACTGAGTACTGTAGGTGACACTATCCAGGAATGCTATAAATTATGGGCTAAAATTTTTTGTTAATAAATACAAATATGAGAACGAGACTTCAGAATTTTTTAAAATTAGAATTTACTTTAACGTTTGTGTAGTGGTATGTTTTACCACGAATTGTAACTTGGCAAGTTCTAGCTTACCAGCAAAATGAACAATTATCATATGTGTCTCCTACCCTTTGAACGCACTGAAAGATATACTACGTGAAATGAAATACTCACAATTAATTACATTAATTCAAATTTTGATCATTTTAAGCGATAAATTTGGGACTTTTCTTGAAATATTTGAAATACGAGACAATTTGTACACCAGTTTTCTAGTGTCGAAGTGAAACAAATGCAAAGCAAAAAACCTAAAATTATGAAAATTATAAAAAGTTGACATTAATCGTAACAAAATAAAAATAACTGTATTTAATTTTATGGTCATATTTTCGCAAGAAAAATATGAAAAAAATAAATAAAATCAAGTCATTAGTATAGCATATTTGTCCCCCTATTCAGTTATCAAATAAATGAACAGGCTTACTAAAACATGCCCTTAACGTCTATTATATTAATTAAGCATATAAAAAGAATACCTGTGCCATTTTTTGCTCTAGCAAGTATATCTTTGCCAGATAACGCTATTGGAATCGAGGCTTCTTGAATAGGTGATGGTTTCTCCCATCCTTTCTCAAAAATACCCATTAACAGTTCTCGCTTTAGGCAGAATTCTTCAAACTCATTTCCTCTTGTATCAGTTACATCCTGCAAATTTTATGGGATTTTAGTTTTGGTACAATAAAGTTGAACAATATAAATAAATTTTGTGAAAATCAGGTCAAATTTTTCATTTATATCTACAAAATGAAGGGGAATCCACAATCTCATCACCAAGTACCTCACCCAAAATTTTATGAAAGTTAGTTGAATGTAATAGAGAATTTCAGCCTACTAGGTAGTAAATGTAATAAAGAAGTAATTTACTACTAGTGAAAAAACTTACACTGGTCTGTATTCTCCGATCTTTGGGGGGAATCTTGAGTTTTGCTTTCCATCCCATGTCATCCATTTTGGTGTCAATTTCACTGAAAACAGTTTTATTATTTATATCTTTGATGATTCAACAATGGGACACCAACAAAAAGCAATTACAAAAAACATACACAGTTTAGAAAATACTTACACTTTGCCTGACAGAGCCATGACATGGTTAGAATTCAGCGTGTCCGTCATCATAATTGCAAAAAATACAATGAAGAGTGTAATAAAAATAGGGTTTATAAAACCCAAATCTGAATTTTTCTACAATGTGTAGAATAAATACTGTTCCTGAAACCCCTTGCAGGAATAATAATGTATCTGCAAGTAAAAAAAGATTTTAGAAACTAGTGGATGCAGCTACGCAAAAAAATTAAGGTCAATATAGAATGCAATACATCAAATTCTAAAAATCAGTTTCCCTTGTTAATCCACATAATAATCATTACAAAGCGTTCCTGACAATCGACGAAACAGAATCGAAATTAAATATTCAAGAAAATGTCGAGGATCCAAGTGAATTTACAAGATTAAAAATTACAGTTAATATGGCTACTGACCCTTGTCAGCTGTATATAAGCTGAATCTATTACACAAACAATAATGGAATTTACCTGATTCTGGACAATGGATTTACGAAATATCGTCGAGACACTTTGGAAAATACCTAGACATTTCTCACCTCGATGTGAATTTACGCATTAATCTGTTTTTTTAGTCACTTTTGCCTTTGATATGGACGCTTTAATCACCAGATAGAAAATGAATTCCAGCAATGGCGGCGCTACCGATAACTGTAAATATACATCTGTAAATCATGCAACCATCATCAACTTCCGCGCACTCTGTTGGATTTTGATACAACTTCTTCGCTAACAAAATTTTTAATTTCCGGCACTACGGATAGCAAGTCGTTTAGAATACTCACTCATAAGAAGCACCCACTAGTGGATTCGCAAAATGAAATTTCTAGAACCGATTTCCTTAAAGATTTCTTTTCAGTGTTGAAAATTAAAATATCTATACCACACATGGAGGTAGAATCCTTCCTCCATGATACCACAGTATGTAAGTAACGAAAGTGTCAGCACAGAAATGTCACGAAATAGTGTCAGCTTAATATTTCAGCTGTTCCTAACGAAACGGAACGATGTAAAGAGGTCACTAGTTCTAACTAGAGGCACCACCAACAAAATGCGTAATATCATATCCATGGTATAGCTGCTTTCAAAATAAGAGAGTAAAACTACCTGGAAAACTGACTTGACTTTTAGGGTTTTCCAACCCTAAGCGGTAGGTGGGCCAATAAGAATGATTGACAGTTTGTACCAGTACTACCAGGTATAATGGATTAAGGCTGTACGGCACCAGAAAATTTCATCTCTGGGAAATATGCAACTTGTAAAACAACCCATGTTACCACGTTATGACAGCTGCCACTCATCTCTAAGGGTTAAAATCGTTCGCTTCGTTGATAAAAGCTTTATTAAATTATTACTCCTATTGTCAGCTTGGCAAATGTATTTCTTGGCTTCCAGGTAGAGCACAGTACGCCACTAAAATATTTCAGTCTGTTCGAAGTGCGCTGGATTTTTAATCCTCGACCGAATTGCGGTGCAAAATTTGGTAATTACCTGATACCTTAGATCCCTGACCGAAGTGCGATAAGTGGGTGTTTCAAAAACTGAATAAAAATTTAGTAAATAACATGTACATACTATTTATATTAATTTTCAGATAACTTCACTTTCTTTACTTTTCGTCCTTTTTAAATACACTGTCAGACAAAAAATCTCGGGACACTTGAATTTTTTGTAATTACCTGCAACTGGTCGAACTTTTATCAAAAATATTCCAATAAGCAAATCGTTAATGTATTCATGTATTCATTAATAGAAAACATAACTTTATTCTAGAACATGTGGAAACAGAACAAAAGTAAAAAAAAAGTCATAACACTAAATATCAGTCTAAATTTACAAATATTCAAGTGTCCGTTTTTTTTTGTCGGGTAGTGTATTTATTTAAAAACAACCCGTAGATCACATACTTACATAGATTTGTATAATCACCAGTTAATCACTAGCTAATGTTTATTAGTTAGTAAATTAAAATGATTCTATCTTTATTTGTTATTGATCTATGCTGTTCTAAATTATATAATTTCTGAAATTGTTAAATAAAATCGTCGTAAACTAAGGTAAAATATAACTATGTCAATATTTTCTTATTATCTACAATTATGATATGATATTAGCAAACTTGTAGCTGCCATATTTCAGAAAATTATACCTTGAAATTTCATTATTTTTGAATTGAACAATTTTAGATTTTATAAACATATGTCTACGAAGTACATCTTTTGCAATATATCGTTTTTCATTTTTATGTGCAGAATTTATTTTTATATTGTAATAACCCAAGCTTCTCGCCTTTAAATTGACCTTGAAAAAGTTTGAAAGGCCAGCGAAAATTTTAAAAATTCAAAGTTTGGCCTTGGCTGTGATCGTCTAACAAACAAATAGGAACCTACGTTGTGTTTTTTTTTTTTTTTTGGTTTTGAAAAATGGAAAGACGTTCTTTCATACAAGTGCATACACTGTCGAGAGCGCAAGAAAAAATAGACAAAATTGTTTTGGAGGAAAGACGCTGCGAAGATTTACTCCTCAGCGCAAAAACCCCCTTTTGTTTTATTCCCGGACATATTACATTTCAAATACCTTAAGATATATGAAAAGGAGACACTCGCGAATTGACCGACATACACATATGAAAAATGAACAAACGGAAAATTCTGTACATCTGTTTGGAATCAATGTAAATATTTGAATATCACAAATTTAATAAAACAAAGCAAAAACTGAATCAAGTAACTGGATGCAAATACACAAGTTATTACAGGCGTGTGGCGACAGATCCTTTTTTTTTAGTTACGGCAGTTAACAGGAGCACAACAAAAGTACCCCTGGGGCGTTGTAGCATAAGCGTAGTTTGGGCTACCGGTTTGGAGCTGTTCTCCCCCCACGACGGTGATTCTATCTATCGCAAAGCCTACCCCACACGCATATCTCCATTACGAACGTGCCCTGAGGGAACTAGGCCATTACGGTCGTCCGACCCGCAAAAGATCTCGACTATTGGTCCAAGTCGAGAAATTTACAACATCGGCGGCCGCCCCTGAATCTATCCAAACCTGTGGACTTGTACAGGTGGCAGGTGGCACGATAAATCTCGCCAGCTCGACTAGGAACCGAACTTCGCTTCTGCCACGTTTTCTGTGTCATTTAACCTCAATTCCATTTTAAAATATTCAATCTCTTATAACTCTGATATTAACAACAACTGAACAAGTGTTAAAGTTTCAAAGAGCAATAAACAACATTTAGATTCGCCATACAATCTTGGGAAAATTTAACCAACAAATAGTTTTTATGTGAGATTAAAGTTGGACATCAAATAATTTATATGATAGAAACATTCATCAGCAAAGTATTTACAAAACAGAATTCAGCAAAGATTTATGAAACAAGAGATCTCGTGTGAAATGAACTTGTACAAATAGAAATATTCTGTGAAGTTAAAACTGTAGAACATGAAATTTACGTTCAATTGAAATTATACAACAAATAAATTTACTGAGGTTAAAATTGTGGGATTAAAGAAATATTGTTTGAGGTGGAAAATTGCAGAGTTAACAAAATTTACAGGAGATTAATAATTGCCACACTTTATCAACGGTTCAAACAAAGAGTTTACATTATGTCATATTATATCATGATCTAAGTGATTGGTTACTTCAAAAAAACAATTTACTTTGAGAGTTTAAAATACCGCGAACTGGTTACCCCAACAAAACGCATAATAAACAAACACAGAAATATCCAATCATCGCTCCGAGGGAAAAAGCGCCTCGGTGATGCAAATTTTAAAATCGTTGCGAGGAAAAAGCATCTCGGTGATGTAAATTTTAAAATCGTTGCGAGGAAAAGCGTCTCGGTGATGTAATCAATCTGTAGCGTTGTGAGGGCATGCTTTGATTAATTAATCAATCTGTGGCGTTGTGAGGCATGCCCCGATGAATTAATCATGATAACGATGATAACCACATAAGCGAAGAAAATATCATAACCCCCGCCAGTTCGCAGTATAATAAACTTGTTTAACTGCCGTAAATGAACTATTAGCAATCTTGTGTGAAGAATTAAGAAGTGTTATAATGTAACGCTTACGTATATGCATCCAGAGACCTATTCGTAATTAAACATAAGGTGTTTTTCCTGACTAAGTGAATTTCATGAAATCTTCTAGCAAGTGGTATATTTAAATAATCCTGATTGTTAAATTGTGTTAGCACTAGCTGACTATTAAGAAAAACTAACTTGATTGGTGAATTTACAAACAATGAAACAAATTTACAACACGTCTTTTGGTGGACCGGAAGTCCGCATTTCTCCGATTAAAATGCCACAAGAATTACCTCTTAAATCTTTCCTTAACTTATTCTTCAAGAAGGAACTGTGTTTTGTAGCACCTGCTCCAAACCGCATTTTTGTTTACAAATATATGCTTTCGGATCGCCAGCAAAATTTTTTGCTACAATATTACGAAAAGTATTTAAAAATAAATTGTTGCCAATATACTAATTAAATGGCCGATTATAATTATTTTTTAATTTGTCATGTTCATATTTATTTTTTAGTATAAGAATATTATCTTTACCTTTTTCATTAAAATTAAACACAGTCACAAATTATTATTATTTCCAGTTTCTGCTCTGTCACTTGGTTACGTCCATTGCTGTACATAATAATAATCAGCAGGGGCGGCTGGTGCCGGGGGGCACAAGAGCACGTGCCCCCCCAAAATTACAACGTCTACAAACACACTAGACATAGCAAAATAATAATTTTCAATATTTAAAAAATTATCCGGAAATTTGTATCATAATTATCAAAACTAATTTTTTTATCTCGCGCCACTTGTCTAAAATGTATCAAAACTTACTTCCACTTGCATCTAAAGATGTGTCTTGGATATATGATATGTTATTTCTGATGAAATGCTGATAAAAGCCCGGCACAGAGACCGAATGGACCGAATCGTGACTGATTTAGATGTTTTGTTTACACCGTTGCCATGGAAACTACACGTCGTAGCCGCCTGATATGCGCTTGATACAACTGACTTGTGAGCCCGTTGCGATCGTGTTCTGGAGGATTGAATTACTATCGCGGGTTTTAATTTTCCTTCTGCGCGAACACGTAGGTATGATAAATATTCTTGGATAATCTTCTCAGTAATACAAACATTCGGAAACAACTACACACCGCTTATATTAATAATATTCGGGCACATAACGCAATATTTTGATTTTAATAAATACATTATTATTTAAATAAATTGTACGACTAACAAACATTTAATGACTCTGCGGCCTGTAAAAAGTGATTTTTTGTCAATGTGAGAATATTCAAGCGATTCTATGATGGTTATGACTCAAAAAACTTGAAAAGAATGGTGCTTTTTTTACGATATTTCTCAACCATATTTTTTTAGTTGATTGAACTGGTCTCTGCGGTCTAGAATATGAAAAAAGTTGCAGTTTGATGTATGATACATCTCTATTCATATCATTTTTTCTTACAAAAAACCAAAAAAAAAGTTATACCTCGTCTAGCGAGTCCCCTTAAGCTTATGGTCCTAAACCGCTTGAGATTATGATATCCTTAAGTCAAGTAGGGTCGCTGCAGGGGGTTCTGTTCTCTTATTATTTTGAAAGCAGCTATCCAGCTATATAAGAAGGCATGGTCAGGAGCAGGGTGACATGGTATGATATTGCGCATTTTGTGTGACGTCATGTGGCTATCATGACCGCTAACTTTAAATTCTGACTTATTGCATGTTTGTATTATCACTATCAACGAACGATACCAAATGTTGAACACATATTGTTAGCATTTGATTTCAATTTACCACCTATGGTAGAAGGAGACATGGCATCCGATGTACCAATTTAAAAATCGTCTGCGCATCCATTTGTGACGTTAGGTGGCATCAACGACCTTGTGACTCTTGTGAGCTTCGCTAGGGAAGTCTAGGGAATTTCAGCTTGAGTTGTCATTGCTCTGTCCAATACGTCAATTAGTTGTCCGATAACAAAAGTTAATGAAATTAACGTCGTCTTCGTTGATTCACTATTAAAGTCTCTCCAATTGGTTACAATCGTCCGACTTGTCAAAAGGGAAAATATCAAAAGATGTCACCCCCTTCAGGAGTTACAGGAACCTGTAATTAATCCGTTTTGTCGCGCGCCAAAACAGTTTGTGCTTGAATTGATATTATCAAAATGTCCAAAAAATATTGCTCTGTGCCTGCTTGTGGGGTAATCAAGGATCCTAGAGACCACAAAATAATGCAGATTCCCTTCAAACACTGTGAACAAAAGGTTGTGGTGCAAAAAGGTTTTTAATGCTACAAGTAGGTACCCCAACATGAATCTTTTACCTAAGGGAATGTATAGCCATTAAAACCATTTCAGGTGATAATATTGCCAATAATTTATACATTTGTGGTAAACACTTTGAGAGAAGTTGTTATTACACAAATAAAAGACTTAAACCCGGCTCTGTTCCTACTTTGTTCCTCCATGGTTCCAAGTCACCGCTACCTGTTCCTACTTCTTCAAGCTCCCCAGCAAGTACTAAACGTGATCCAGAATGCAGCTTCATAATTCCTGAGACACATTCCGATAACAATGTAAACACCTCAAAGAAAAACTTTCCTACTGCATATCCCTTTGCAGACCATCCACACCCATGGCGTTGTGACTTTGGCACCGGTACCGAAATTTTGCCTCTTTTTCAAGTAAAAACTGAAATACATGACGTCAAATTGTGTCAAAAAGTCAGACCACGACAGACATTTAGCCGACATTACAGATTCCTTTCCCTCCCGACGTATGCTCCCTCACATGTCACATTTAAGGGATTGGAGAGACTTTAATAGTGAATCAACGAAGACGACGGAAATTAATAATGATAAAAATGTAATTATTGAAAGTTGAACGATCCAAAAATGTGGTTTCGTATCAATTTCGATAAATGTGGGACATCAGCAAATGCAGATACCAATTTGTTCGTATCTCTTGAGTGTTGAAAAGAGATTTTTCACATATTTATGCTCAGTTCTCTCCACAAACCTAAATTCTGCGATCACATCACACATACGACTGCAACAACTGAATAATCACAAATAAATTTTTCCAACTTAAAGAATGTATGTATTTTAAATTTCGCGCTAATTTCACCCCACTTGACGTCACACCCGATGCGTATGCCTATACCATGTCCACGGTTGTAGAATAGATAGGTTGATACACTAGCATACATTTGCATATCCCTGGTCAGCGACGCCAATTGTCGATCGCGTCGCCTGGTTTTTGACGTTTTAGGGACACAGAACTCTATAGGCATCTGTCTATAACCGATGTAATTAATAAAAGAAATCGTACTTATCGACTCCGATCAAATGTCATTTACAAATTTTGTATTGTTCATAAAGCAATGTAAACGAAAATCCCCAAAATAACTAGAATGATTTCCGCTCGACAAGGTAGAGGCGCTAGCTGTATGTGTCCTTTCCATGGATATAGGGATCGAAAAGAAGCGTCGCCATCCCAAGCCATTAGTGTACAAACCTATCTATTCTACAACCGTGACCATGTCTCCTTCTACCATAGGAATCCTATGGCTACTCTTAAAAAAGATGTACTGTATATGTAAATATCTAACAATTATCTGTAGTTACCTTTGATTTGATCGGTTGGCAACAGAAATTACCAACAAAGCGAACAAAATTCTGGCCGAGAACGCCTCACTACACTTACACAGAAAGGCGAAAATTGCATGTGATCATCTTATCTAGAGTGAAGTGTTCCTCAACCTGTCAAATGCGTGGAATAGAGAGCGAGAATATGTTGTACGCCATTTCATTTAAGGAGAAAGAAGAAAAAAGAAGGAAATCGGCTGCATCGCACCAGATGTGAAACGGTTGGATGAATGTAAAATTCCACTTGGAAATCAATGTTTTGTATAGTACAAAAGCAAGAACTATAATTAAACTTGGATGTGTACCACTAATATCGATGTTACTGTGTTTCTGACAATGATTTCGTGACCAGTGAAGTGTCATTTGTGTGTTGAGTTAAAATGGCGATGTGAAGAATAATGGTGGCTAAATGAAATTTTCTGATTTCGATTCCAACATTATGGAAGACAATACGCTAAATCATCAGAACGGGGCACAGATCGGACCGCAAACCGTTTCTGTGACGAATAATAAACAGAATGAAGAAACAAATCCAAAAGCTCAGTATTCCATACCCGGAATATTGCATTTTATTCAACATGAATGGGCACGGTTCGAATTGGAAAGATCGCAATGGGAAGTTGACAGAGCTGAATTACAAGTGAGTATTCGTTTTAACATTATTATTTTAACAACCATGTTAACTAGAAATAGAAATAATTCAATGGTCGTTGCCCCTTCGCAGGTGACCCTCTTGTGTATTGAAAGTAAACGCAGATTTCAATGACCAAAAATTTTTAGTTTATTTAAAAATATCAACCAGATGTATATAACAAATACATATAAAGTTTCTTGAAAATGTCAAAAATTAATATTTAAATGCACGTAGAATAGGGAGGACTGGATAGTGTGTAACATTCACTGTAAGACCTTAACAGAAGGTGACTTCAAACAATATTTTTGCTAACCTCTCCGGACATCTAAAGAAGTGACTTTGAATCTCTATAGAAACAATGCAGACAATACTTACATTATACGTATGTAGTTTTGGGGTATAAAATTTTACATTGGTGCTGTTCGATGTTAATTGTTTTGGTAATTACAATAAATTTATAATATGTATAAATTGTCATGTTAACTAGAATCCAAATTTGTGAGAAAAACTGTTGTGGCTTAGGTGGTATTTTAATTAATACGGCCCTTCAAAAACATCAATGTTCCAAAAGATCAGTTACAACCTTGGATGGATTTTTGTAGATATTTGCTGCCTACTATTTGCCACAAATCTCACTGTTTCTCATCTCACCTCACTTTGTGGCCGTTCTATTGGCAAATTTTTATCTGAGCCGAACTAAGATTTTATATTCCCCCCTCATCGATCAAGCACAACCCCTGAATCTTCTGTTGAAATGAGATTAAATCTCACTCAGAGTAGGGTATCTACGAAAATTGAAATCCCCAAAAATGAGGAGATGCTCCATCAAATAACTGTACATGATTGAAATTGTTGTAATAATGTATAAAATATAATAATGATTATTATAATTATGATGTTAAATCAACACGAAGTGATAATTGGGGACGGCGGTTTTTATTCGATCTGTGGTGGAATCGATTATTTCTTAACAAATAACCTATTTTTTTGTAACGCGAATTGATTCTTTCTTATCGGAATCGAATGGAAAATTAATTTTACTAATATAAGTGTCAAGTGTCAACATTAATCTGTCAAATGCGAATGTCAAGCGGGATAATTATTTTGATTTTTAGACAGTCAGCATCTCAGCGTGAACTAAGATAAATCGCTTCCTTGCCAAGTGAGGTGAAGTGAATTTCTCAATTTGTAAACTGAGGTGATATTTTCACCTCAAATAGAACACACGTATTGACTCGAATACATCAACTGCTAAAAGTTCATTTTACAATAACAAAAATATTATTTTTTGTATACGCTCCCAAAACCAGCTATTTTACGGACTCAAAAGTGTCCGTAAACTGAGTCTTTCGGACTCAATCCTAAAAAGTTACCATGACAACTATTGATGATCATTTCGAATGATCATTTAGGTAAATTAAACATAACACCGGGGAATAGTGGATCTGCGGCAACCACTCTGAGAGTCAATTTAGGGTATATTAAGTCTGACGAATTCAGAAAATCTGTTAATTTTCCGAATTGGCTTTAATTTTTAAGATAAGTGTACCTTGATTGTATGAACACAGGCATGTAATAAACATACGAAATTTATTTTTAAAACTGTTATTTTCAAAGGAAACTGCTAATATGTGCTATATACATTATTGTTAATTTAAAAATAAAAAGAAAATAAGAAAAATGTTTTTGCAGGATTTTCTACAATATTTCTGATTAGGACAAACTTTTTGTAAAAAAGTTCTGGGGTTAAAATGTACATTACTCCCTTGCAACATGGGTTAATCGGTAAGCGCTCCACTATAACGAACTTGATCTGTTTTACACAAGTTACAGCCGAGGCAATTCATGAAAGAAAACAAGTTGATGCAGTTTATCTCGATTTTCAAAAGGCGTTTGATCAAATAGATCACTACATATTGTTGCACAAGTTAAAAGCATTTGGATTCACTGATTCTCTCATCAATTTGTTTAAATCGTACTTGTTAAACAGAGACCAATGTGTCCGATATCAATGTCATATGTCCAAAAAAATATATCCTACTTCTGGAGTGCCCCAGGGGTCGAATTTGGGCCCGTTGTTGTTCTTCCTGTTTGTTAATGACATCACTAATATTGTATCAACCGATAGTCTACTCTTTGCAGATGATTACAAGATTCACAAAATAATAACATCGATCAAAGACTGTATCGCCCTTCAAAATGATCTCAATAAAATCTTTCAATGGTGTCAAAGAAATCGTCTCTTTCTGAATATTCTGAAATGCTTGGTAATATCGTATTGTAGTAAAAAGTCGCCTCTTCATTTTCAATACGTTCTTCTGAATAAACCGTGTCCGAGGAAGATTGTCCGCGTTTGAGGACAGTGGACTAAGAACAGAGGAATCAAATTTATGGCAGTAACCTCGTTGGATCTAAACACCTTTTACGACTATGCACTCGAGTTAACCACGACCGTAGGTTTGAAAGTAACGCCAATTAGTGGCGGAGCAATTTGGCTTATCATCCGTCATGGGGATGAAACTTATGAAAACTAAGTGTCTTTCTAAGATTGTTTACTTCCATCCCATGTTTTACAAAGTTTGCAGCTCACTATGTTGAGTTTGTTAAAAAAATACGCAGTACGTGGGGGAACAAAATAACTGGCATGTACCGCTACGGAATACCGATAAAACGATAGTATTTTCTACCCTGCTCGCACGTGCGCACAACCGACAGACTTATCGTAAACGGTGTTTGCGGTGTTTGATTTTGTCCCAATACCATGAATCATTCTTGCTATTTTATTCATAGTTGATAAAGAATCCCCGACGTACTTCTCAGCTACACTAGTGCTCGTCCAACCATCGTGCATCTTAAGTAAGGATACGTCGGCGTCAGCATCCGTTAGAAGCGTAGCCAAAGATCGGCGGAACGCATGACCAGTGTATAAACAAGGGTCCGATCGTTTCAAAAAGTTGCAACATTTTTCCACATGTCTCCAAATGTATTGGTTCTAATTCCGTGCAACTAACAAAGAAGTGAGCGTGGGAGATGTTTTTGGGTCTCTTGTCTCTGTATTTTCTAATTGTTCCCCAAATCTTCATCGTCAATAATATTGAATCTTCTTCTCGACCGGTTTGCCTTTTTTGGAACTCGAGACTGTTATTGATGATCCTGTATCAACAGAATCACTAACACTTGATGTTGTAAAGCTCCTCTCGCTTGCAGCCTCCAAAAATTGCAGCTAATTTTTGCAGCCAAATAGTCATCAGGTACATTTTTCAAAAATGTATTTATTTGTTCTCGTGCGAATGTTTGCGATTGTTTCGGAGGCTATTTCAAACTATTAGTTTTCATAGAGTTTAACCATTTCAAAGGAAGAAATATTCATATTTTCATGCGTCGCCAACATGGAAATTTTATCAACACGACGATTCACTAACAAAAAAAACCTTCAGTTAATCGTCATGAATAATTAGCAAACAGAGTAATAAGACTTATCAGTTAAACAATTAGAATCTCCACTGATTTCTGCCATGGCGTTAGTTTGCTGCAAATGTTTAAATAACGCCAATTCGCTTCTATACCTGTCCAAAGACCTGGTTCGTATTAAACGAGCTGCATCGACTTTTTTTTTTAATATTCGAATTACTGTCACCCATTTTTGTAAAAAAAAATTCTCGTATAAACTAGGTAAACAAACGGTAATAAAAATACTAATGTAAAATAAAAAATATTTATGTAAATGGATTACTTAAACAATTTTTTTTTTTTTTAATTTGCGAAATTGGAAAAAATCTTGTGTAATACACGTGAATAAACGAATTTTATCCACTCAAAAACATTATCACACTCGGCTTCGCCTCGTGTGCTAAACTGTTTTTTCGCTGAATAAAATTCGTTTTTATTCACTTATACCATAAATAGCTATTATTGCAGTTTTTAGAAAAGAAACAGAATGATGGACTTCAAACATAAATGAAGATAATAATAAAAAATAATTTCACTGAAATTGCGTTTTTAATGTCCACGATCGAAAAAACCTGTGTTTATAAATCTGCCATAAAATTTTCGAAATGTGCTCTTGTCGGGTGTGGAATGATGTGAGAATGCTGCAGCAAAATTTTGCGCAGTTTCTCTGTTGTCGATAAGGCTTTAATATATCCATTAGTGACCACTTCTACTTTTTCTTTAATTGTGTACTGCGGCATGTTGACGAATTTCGGTCAATAAAAACCCGTAATCGAACGAGTAATCAAAGTATAGAAACGTCAGGTAAATGTCTGTTTTACATGGCTGCGTACAATATTAGCAACAAAAATATCCAAATACTTTAATTTTTTTAAAGAAATATCCTTCAGTTTAAAACATGAATTTTAATAAAATCGACAATAGATAACGCAAATTACATCCAGTAAAAATTTCAGTTCTGAATCTTTACCCAAACATAAGTTAACATGGGGTCTAAAATTTAACATGGGAATCCCTATGGCCACTTTTAAAAAAGATGCACTGTATAGTTATTTAACGAAAACAAATAATATAATTTTTGTATAAATGTACTTTTGCAGGCTCGTATCGCCTTTCTTCAGGGAGAAAGAAAGGGTCAAGAAAACCTTAAAAATGATTTAGTTCGGCGCATAAAAATGTTGGAGTATGCCTTAAAACAAGAAAGGGGAAAGTTTCATAAACTAAAATATGGGACAGAATTACAGCAAGGAGATATGAAGCCACCTATTATTGATGAAAGTAGTGAAACACAAATGGACATAGATCAGTCATACGTTGCCGTATCCAATTCAACATGGAAGCAAGGCCGTCAATTACTTAGACAATATTTACAAGAAATTGGTTACACAGATAGAATTATCGATGTTAGATCGACGCGTGTGAGGGCTTTATTGGGTTTAAATAACAACACCGAACCAGAAGAAAATCACAACGGCAGTTCGGTTAACGGCAATGAATCGAACAAACGGGCCAGCGAAACGCAAGGTAACAACAATTGCGCTTTTCAATATTAACAAGAACATTAAATCAGTAGAAATATCTTATAGCTACATTATAATTCGCAGATTTAAAAAAAAACTAATTTTTTCTGTCACAGGTAGGAGGACGCCTGCTAAGAAACCTCAACCTAGTTCTTTAGCTGAAGCAATGATGCTGGATACCGAAGCAGCAGTTATGGCAAACCTAGATTTTCTCTCAAACGCCGATGTTGATATGGAAGATGACGATGATATGAGCGATGACGTCGATATCGAACCTTCAGATGATCTCGATGACGATGTAAAAGTAGTTAAACGAAAAGGTACTTTATATATTGTTGCTTATTTTTATTTAGATGTTAATCCGTATATGCGTCTGCTCAGGTAAACTTGATAGTTTAGGGGACGATGTAGACGCTGAAGCCATGGAAGTCTTGAATGAGCTTAATCTTCTTTCTGAATCAGGCGAAAGGCAAGAATTTAAAAATGAACACAGCGAATGGAAAAAAGGTGGGTGCATATTAATCATGATGGTACCGTAATGTTGCCTACCTTCTTCAAATGAAAATAATAATGCGGTTTTAGGTTTTCAAAGCGGCGTACCCAAAAGACCGCTTGGTTTAAACGATGACGATAACATTGATTCTGCACTAGGTCTAGGAGAATTGGCTCAGCTTACGGTGAACAATGATGCCGAAACAACTTATGATATAGCTAGCAGCAAGGAAGCATTTAGGAAAACGTGGAATGCAAAGTACACTCTACGCAGCCATTTTGATGGGGTTCGAGCGTTAGTTTTTCATCCGAACGAGCCGGTCCTGATCACCGCCAGTGAAGATCATACTTTAAAATTGTGGAATTTGCAAAAAACAGTTCCTGCAAAAAAGTCAGCGTCGTTGGATGTTGAACCCCTATATACTTTTAGGTATATATAAATAGTTAAAATATATATATATATATATCGTGATTTGAAACTTTTTAGGAGCCATACAGGACCAGTCTTATGTTTGGCAATTTCCGGCACAGGAGAACATTGTTATTCTGGTGGCTTAGATGGTGTGATAAATTGTTGGAATATACCTAACTCCAACATAGACCCTTACGATTTGTTTGAACCTGATGTCTTAAACACCACACTGCAAGGACACTCTGATGCTGTATGGGGGCTCTCGTTCTTAAACTCGAAACAGCATTTATTGTCATGTTCAGCAGATGGAACGGTTAAAATATGGGCTCCTCATAATAAGGTTTGTGATGTGTCTAAGACGGTTTTTGTATTCATGTGTTGCGGTGTTTCAGGTTCAATTACTAAATACATTTACATCTGAAGCAGACGGAATTCCTTCTAGTGTAGATTTTGTTAGAGATGAACCAAATCGGATTGTGGCAGCTTTTGCCAGTTCCCATTGTCTAGTTTTTGACACTGAAACTGCCAAGCCAATTATGCGGCTAGAATCAAGTCAAGAAAGTGTTAATCTCAATAATAAACAAATAAATCGAATAGTTTGTCATCCGACATTACCGCTGACGATTACGGCACATGAAGATAGACATGTTAGGTTTTGGGATAATCATACTGGCAAGATGGTTCATTCTATGGTCGCTCACCTAGATGCAGTCACTAGTTTAGCTGTAGACCCCAACGGCTTGTATTTGTTATCAGGTGAGTGTATTATACATATAATCTGATTAAAATTTCGCATTACGAATACTGTTTATGTGAAACTTCTATTTACGTCCATGCCTAATTGCAATTAGCACTTAACAATTTACATACTACCACAACAATACTTTCTCCACACCAGTAATCGACTTTTCATTATTGACAATTGTTTATAAATTTTACGTTATTTAAATGTTATACTGTATGCCTTGTACGATTTCTATATTCCATTTCAGTACTGTAGGAAATGTACTCGTATTTCAAGGTCGCACTTCAAATTTTAAAATTTATACTTGACACTACTAGATATAGCTAGACTGTATGACAGACTCAAGTAACCTGTCATATAATAAATACGTAATAGCTGAACATTGAAATTTGTGGTTTTGAAATATACACAAGCTCTTAGTAGTAGAGATGGTTTTTGTTTTGTTAATTATTAAAACATCTTTTACCTTTTTCTCACCAAAATACCTCTTGGGATTTTGCATATTTAAACGTCAGGCTTTAGTTTTCTTTCTTAAAGTACTTTTTCTTTGTTATAGAAAAAAGTGTTACATTTAACAGTTAACTGGTTCATTATTTTTAAAGATCAATTAAACACTATGAAGAAATCAACTATAACTCGAATTTTATTTCGGATACTTGTTTATAGTGGAGTGCCGTAAGACATAAAAATGCAAAAACCTCGGAACCCGGTTCCACTGAATGAATTTTCGTAAAACCTTTTCGATTGCATTGTTAAAAGCTAAATGAAAAAGTTTACCATCAAAATTTGCCGATTTCTATTACAACAATTTATAACAATAATTAATTGAAGAATGAAAAAAATATGAAGAAAAAAAAATTGTAAAGATTTTAATTTTATATACCATAAATGATATTTGTATAGTAACTTTAACATTAATTTATAATGTTTTAGCTAAAAATAACAAATTTACAAAAAAAGAAATTAATAATAAGGCAAGTTGCTCAAAATCGTATGCATATCGGACCAAATATATAAAAAATAGGTAAATTAATTAAAAAAGACGAGATTTTCAGTAAAAAATATTTATTATTTCATTTTATAAAAACTGAAAAATTTTCAGACAATTATCTAGATTATTATCATTGTCGTCATCAACCTCATTAATTTTGATGATAGGTGATGGGTTAGTACAACTGTTGCCTTTGCATTTTGAGCAAGCTACAGTACAATTCAATCCACGCTTCCTGCATCCACAAGATGCTATACATCCTATTTTGCATCTGTAATAAAAAATCATTTTCAGTAAGTTCCGTGAAGCTGATAGCTACGTCATTGTTTCTGGTATCAGTATTTTGCTTTCATATTTCCAACCCCATTCTTCTGGTAATATTTTTCTTCCGAGCCATGTTTGAATTTGCAGGTATACTCTTTTGAAGTGCCTAAAAGCGGCATTTGCAGTAGGTGCCTGCCAAAGACGCTCATTTAACGCAGCTATTTTTGCGGTTGCTTTTACAAAAGAGTTGTACTTTAATGTATTTAGATCTTTTATTTTTGAGAGGCAGCGTATAAAGCAAGGATTCATGTAACACCAGCGTTAAAAATGTCGTTGCCGTCTTTGCATTCATTTTCAAAAACTGCTGCAGCATTTTGTAAGTCCGGTCGTTTCTCTAAATTTTTTGCAAAGACATTGTTTCTCCGTTGCGAAAAAGCGGACGTCGTGTCACAGCCGGTGAAAGAATCTGAAAACGGGATAAGCTGTTTACACTTTAGTAATACTATTTCCAAGCTTTTAGATGAGTATACTTTTTGTGGTGTTTTGCCTTTTGCTGGTTTTTGAAAATAAATTTGTCGATCTGTTGGTGAAAGCGCAGTCAGTAAAACTAGTAGATCTACATCCTCAAAAACTACTTACAACGTTTTCGAATTGCAACTTAATTGCGGTTTCAATTACACAGTAGAACAGTGTTTTTGTTACATATATTTTCTAAACATGGTCGGAAAGGTAATTTTGTGCTGAACAACTTTTAAAAGAGATAATATACCCATGTCAAAAAAAAAATTCAAATTTTTATTGTCATCCGGTGAACAATTACAAAAAATGAAGTGAATTCTAATTTTACATAGAATAACGGGCAAGAAGCACTAAAAAAATGTTCCACAGATTTTTGTCGACGAATATTTAATTATGTCTACGAATATTTAACCTGCCTAGAATATGTAGAAGGATCTAACTCTTTATAAAAGCCTCATGTATCCGGAAAGAATGGATACTTGGGTCTTTGTCTTAAATCTTTCTTAGACTTTCTTGATTTTTCGATTTTCAAAAGATTAACAGCAAAGAAATTTAAATGAGACTTAATTTGTAGAACGTTTGTTTTCTAAAAATTCACTGATTACTAAGCTAATTGATTCCCAAGTAAATTTTTCCGTATCATTCAAATAGGCGTAGAACATTTGATCCTTCATTCGAATTTCAAGCCCAATGAAAATTCCTAAATATAGAAAACGTACATAATATGAAAACTGAAATTCACTGTAATCTTTTAATTTTTACCTTGGTTTATGTTGGCAGCAGAAAGCTTAGGAAATATCGTTTTCAGATGTTGAAATTCTTTCTCTCTGGTATTTCACTTGCATAAGAAGCACATATGATTGGTATATCCAGATTGGAAGCCAGTTACTAAAGCTACAATTTTTAAATCGCCTATCAAATTGCACTCAAATTTTTTGTAGTTATTACAGTTTAACAAGTGTTGAATATTCTCTTATGTTTCTGAAGTTTGTATGGAGTATGTAGTCGGCAGTAGTAGATATTTATTGCCATTATGCAATAGTACACCTTTAACTGGAACTATCTATGAACAATCTCCAAAAAAAAAAAAAATTGACGACGTAGGCATAATGTCTTATTAGATAGTTATTCAGCACCTAATAACCTTTCAGAATGCTTGTAACAAGAAATTTTTCTAAAATTGTTCGACTGTGTTAATAATCGGTCGGCATCAGTTTCCGCTTGACAAGAAAATATTTTATTTTTCGCAAGTGTGTTTCAGAACATTTCTTTGAGGCTACTCTTATTTTCCTCGTTCGTTAAAATACTACATAAATATTGCGTCCATAATTGTTATGTAAATATCTTACATAAAAAATTTTCATTCAGGTGTATTAACATCCCATGAATTACGTATGAAAATTTTTGTACATCGTCAACATTCACCGTCATTTTATTATTATTATTATTAGTATACTGGCCCTACAAACGAATACAATTACAGGGACAGAAATATTTACACTACGTATAGTTGTCACAAAAATTAGGTATTTCACCTTAATATGGTCATCTTAATGTCACGGTTGCTGCAGTTAAACAAATCTATATTATTTTGATATAAGTTATATTTACGACACATGGTGAAAATAGGAGAGAACTTTTGTAAATTAATACGCGCAGTTGGTAAATAGAAGGTATCATTATTTCTAACATGTAATCTTGGCACATGGAAGTCGAGTTCTGCCAATAAACTACTACAGTCAATCGAACCAGTAACTAATTTGTGCAGAAATATTAGTGATGAAGCAACTCTCCTTTGCTCCAGACTTTCTACGTTAAACATATCAAGCAGTGTTTCATGAGGGTAACCTCTGTTAGGATAATGACCAAAGCTCAAGAAAAACAGAAATTTCAGAAATCGTCTCTGGATCTTTTCCAGAGCCACCGTATGGATGTTATAGCCAGGCAACCGTATTATGCTTGCAAATTCTAACTTTGATCGAACAAATGAAAAATATAGAGGCTTGATTGTTTCAGTGTCCTGAAATTTTCTACAGTTCCGTATAATAAACCCCAGATTTTTTAGTGCACTTGACATTATTTGCTCATAGTGGTAAATAAACGTCATTTTAACGTCGAATGTTACTCCAAGATCTCTAATAACATTTTTTTTGCAAACCTGGACATTATCAATACCATAGTCGGAAATTAAAACTTTTGATTTTAGTGAAAAAGTAACTACATTACATTTAGCAGAGTATTTGAGAGCCCACATTGTTTACTTCTGTCACAAACTAACTGTAGATCGGCTTGCAATTTTAACTGATCTTCCCTGCTAGTAATTTTTCTAAATAACTTCATGTCGTCCGCATACAATAATGCCGGTGAGGTTAAATCTGTAATATCATTTACAAAAGATTGAAGAATAAAGGCCCAAGAACAGATCCTTGTGGTACGCCGGACGTAACGTTAATTTCTACTGACTCATAACCACTACACATAACACGTTGTTTTCTTCCCGTTAGATAAGTAGCAAAAAATATTATTAAGTCGTCAGAAAAACCAAAAGAGCTTAATTTGTCAAGTAATTTGTAGTGGTTCAGTCTGTCGAACGCCTTCGAGAAATCTATGTAAATAGTGTCCACTTGGGTTCCTGCGTCAATATTTTCTGTCACGAATTGTGTGAACATACACAAGTTAGTTTCAACGGAACGGCCTTTGACAAAACCATGCTGAAGTGGAGAAATATAGGAATTAACATGGTTCATAATGACTGTGTGCAAAAAGATCTCAAAAACTTTAGAAAAATTATTACGCAAAGTAATTGGTCGATAGTTCTCAATATGCTTTCTGTCACCTTTCTTAAAAATTGGACATATAATGGAGTATTTCCAGAGAGTAGAGTATTTACGAACCGTAAGTGATAAATTGAATATTAGAGACAGAGGAGAGGCAAAAATACTTGCGCAATCACGCAAGATAAAAGTGACTTTATTTTTAATTTTACGTAATGCTTTATAAACTTCGTCTTCGCTAAGCGTAAGCAAAGAACGTATTGTAATCGAGTCCGTTGACCGACTTTCTACTTTTACATTTTCTCGATCATTCATGACCCCTAGAAGACGAAGAAATAGGTCTCCCGTTTCCGTCTGTCTGCCGTCCCGGATTTTTATTAAACAGATAATCTCCGAAAGTACTGGGCCGATTGTTGTCAAATTTTGTACTTATATTAGGTATATCATGTAGATGGTAAAACGCTAACCAAAATTTGTCTGATCATCTCCACCATTAATGTGATAACGTCACTTCAAAATTGTACATAGTAATTGGGTTTTTAATTGTATCAAATAACATAGTCTTACACATGTAGTTTATGACTCCGAATTGAGATTTTACCCGAAACGTCCAGATTAAAAAAAAAAAAAAATCAAAATTAAGAAACAACATTTTGACATTTAATTTGAAATCTACAAAACCGAATGCTTTGAAATCTTGCAGATGGTTAATAGTTACGATAAGTATGATAAATTTATAATCAAAATATATTTACTTATCCCCTCCAAAAAATTGATGATGTCAACTCAAAAGTTTTGCTCAATAAATCCTATCTTAAATATACAAAATATGATGAGCCTGAATGCGTGAATTTATTTTATTGATTTAATCAGGAACTACAAAACCGAATGCTTTGAAATCTTGGAGATGGTTTAAAGTTATCATAGGCATCGTAAATTTTTAGTCAAAATGTATTTGCTCATCTCCCCCTAAAAATTTGATGACGCCGCCGCAAAATTTTGCTGATCATAGCAGTCACAAAAAAAAACGACAGAGATGTCAGTGCCAAATAATGACAAAGTTGAAAAAATTAATACTCAATTTATTTTAAAATACCCCGCTACAAAAATGTAATACGAAAAAAAAACATAATAGGCATTCAGTCATCACGTTTCCGACAGCGAGGGAAGTACTGTCTAAACTCTTTGGACCAATTTTTTTTTTCAAAAATTTGGGCGTTTCGGGTAAAAATTCAACACGCAATCGTAAACTACATGTGTAGAACTATGTTATTTTATACAATTTAAAACCCATTTACTATGTACAATTTTGAAGTGACATCATTGCATTATTGACGGGAACGAATAGATAAAGTTTGGCTAGGGTTCTGCCATCCACATGATATTCATAATACACATACAATTTGACAACAATCGGTCCAGTAGTTTCGCAGATTATCTGTCTAATAAAAATCCGGACAGTCGGCAGACGGACGGACGGAAACGGGAGACCTATTTCTTCGTACTGTAGAGGTCATGAAAGGTCGAGAAAAGGTAAAAGTAGAGAGTCGGTCGACGGACTCGATTACAATGTTTTCGTCGCTTACGCTCGGCAAGTAATAAAATTTGCAAAATCAGATTTTCTAATTTTTCGAAAAAACTGGATATGATTTATTGTACTTCAGGGGGAAGGATGTTCTGTCGAAATAAACTTCGACCAATTTTTTCTCTACAAGTTGTTGACCTAAAACCACTTGTAGCTTTACACTATTTGCAACTAACTACTGCAAAAAGTTTTTAAACGAACATTATACACTTAACGCAAATCCAAAAAAAAAAACGTTCACACTAAACTGCTTAGTGTGTAAATTTTTATTTTAAATGTGACCATTGTACAATATATATTAGCGTAATTTTTTTGTGTGAAATGAACAAAGGAAATCGGCGATAATTTTCCCCGAGGTCGTGGGGTCTTTTGCCAGACTTTTTCTTGAAGAGAAAATTTCACCTCTTAATCGAATTTTGATTCCTAAAACCAAATTTTTCAATAAAATTTAAACGCAAAATCACTCCTATATTTTTATTACCATCACTACGTAGTAAATAAGTCAGAAAATCTCAGATTGGTTCATGCAGGGAACTTATCAATCGATAATGTTCATATAAGTCGCCATGGATTTCCCAAAATGTAAAAATTCTATCAATTCCATTAGCTGAAATTTTCTTCAGGAAATAGTCACTTAACAGTTATAATTCTAGCTGATGTGGGTTATTAAAATGTGTGTTATATTAGTATATAGATTAAAGTAAAACTATGTACATGTTTCAGGCTCACATGACTGTTCAATAAGGTTGTGGCATTTGGACAATAAGACCTGTGTCCAAGAAATAACTGCACACAGAAAAAAATTCCACGAAAGCATTCTAGATGTAACTTTTCATCCTACAAGACCATACATCGCAAGTGCTGGCGCTGATGGGTTAGCCAAAGTGTTTGTGTGAATATATGAAGGGATAAAGTTCAGACGCATTACTACAGTGTTGATTGAATGTCGATCAATAATTTTCTTGGCTTTACTGTATGTGTAGGTTAAGTGTACATAACAATTCGTATTCATAATGATTTGTATATAATAATTACTTTTGTCTTGCACAGACTATGTTTAACTTTTTTTTGTACATATTTTTACCGTTCCTTTTTTATTATTATTTATCATAAAACTAACCTGTGTTGTGAAAGAAATAATTTATGTACATTTGTCCTACAGTTTGAGTAAATGTATGTATGCTCATGCGTTAAGATTCGTAATTCCAACTAGTGAAAACAGGTTTCGTTGTCTTCTTAGAATAGTATCGTAATCATCGTTGTAAACTATGCAAGATCGCAGGTGCATCACGATGACACAGTGGTGCTTTTTTTGCTTTTTGTATGATTTTTTCGTGCATTACTGTCATGCCTTGTTTATGTTTTAACCAGTTTATAAGAAGTTCAAGTCATTCTTTCTAAATTGTAGGATAATTATAAATCGTTAATGGTGTTTTAGCACTACCAGTTCATCTTTTTTTTTATTTGTGCTTCATTTACAGTTATTTAGATAAGTGCAACATGGTACACGCAACATTTCTGAACTGCAAGCATTAATTACTTACTTATTGGTTATAATAAATTAAAATTCCAGAATGATATTAAACTACCAGAATTTCATTCATGAACTCACTGAAATAGGGATATTAAAGGCTAAATAATTCATGTTAAGGTGTATTATATCATTTTGTTTAATTTATAAATCAAATATTTATATATACATACACATATTTTAAGTTTAAGGTAGTCCTCAGTATAATCTAAAAGAAACGTAACGTTTAGAATAGCAAATTATAGTAAGTGATATAATTATTGTGAATGTAAAAACTGTATTTAAATTATAGATTATAGGGTAATATTTACAAAACTGGTCTCTCTACTAGCATAAGACTTGATTTTATTAAATCAACAATGTAAATATTAGCACTAGCCTCCCTCAGTTTTTGCTTATAACGGAATGATTTTGGTTTTTGAAGTATAACTTTTATATCCCGTTTTATTTATTTTATATAAACGTTTTTCAAAATATCAACTGCAAGCAAAATGGTTGATCCTGTTAGTTAATTGACATTGTACAAACTCATTGACTACCTTAACTATGAATCATTTTTATAATAAAGTTTCATGTTTGCAATGTATAAATGACCTAAATGGTTTTTAAAACTTTTTTAAACTGGCTAGAAAAGATAGTCATAATTTGATAGAAGCTATGATGGAGAATGTATGACTTAATGTATAAAACAATAAATTGTAAATATTAAAGTCGTGTCTGAATCTAGAGTCGTAACTATAGTGTTGAAGCGCACATTTATTTATGTGAATAAATAAATAATAATGGCTGTCAATTGATCCGTGAATGAGCATGAACAGGGCGTGAAAAGCAGGGGTTCTAGTAGGGTATAGTCCTGCTTATGTTCTGATTACGCGTATGCCACTTTTATTTAACATGTTCTAATAAAATTCATTTGGAGTTACAATTAACGATGCTTTACAAATATTCCATTTAAAAGTATAACACACCAAAGTTGTATTTTTTTGAAGTACATGTTTTTACAGATTTACATTCTGTGTGAAGAAGGATTTTATGATCAACAGTTTTCAGGATATTTACATGTTTATGGAAAAAAGTGGTTACATTTAAAAACTCTTCAGGTCCCTATTATATTTAAAGCTTTCGTTTGATAATAATAGATTTCCTGATGTTTAATTGTTCATCGTAAGTGTTTTTACTTCCTGAGCGTAAGCGAAGGAAGTGTTGTAATCGAGTCCATCGGACGAATGATCACTTTTTTTTTAATTATAGTTAGAAAGGGCATTCATTCCTCGTCGAAGGCAAAATTTATCCTGAAGAAGTTATAACAACACCCAGTTAGAGATGGTTCATTTAAGTTCAGCATGGTGAGTCATCAGTAGTGTAACATGCACACTGCAGAAGAGGGTGTTTTTTTTAACTTTTTTTTGTGATTTCCTTTATATTTTTCGTGAAAAGTTGCAAATCTTAATTTTTTGCGTGTATAATACTGTGAATTTTTTTTATTTGTAAAATGCACGAATGCTTTACGCAATTTTACAGCTGTGTTCTTAGAGTGAACGATGTCTACTCGTATACGTGAAACAAATCTAGAACATTTAAAAACTAAAAGCATAAAAAACGCGATGAAGTCGAGTAAGTGACACTAATAAATAATAATAAAAAACTTTCTAGGATTTACATTCGAATTGAATTTATTGGAGAATAGACGAAAGTTCGTTAAAATTTGTTTTATGTTTAAAATTTGGAACATCTGCGATGGGGGTGACCACGTAAACTCCGTTTATGTAAATGTTCCGCAGTGTCCATGTCAGTTCCTTTGTTGTATTTAAATTTTTATTCTATTTTAGAATCATAATCTTGTTTATAAGCACCCAAATGCGGGCATAAATTGGCCTTTATGGTACAATTCAGTCAAAAATTAATTTACATTAATTAATTATTCAAATAAGCTTCGATATTCAATTTTTTTTTTTAAGTTGGGAAATAGTACATTATGGAACTAGTGGATGAAGTTGAATTTCAACGGCGAGAGTGATTTTTTCACACGAGCGAGTGCAACGAGCGAGTGCGAAAAAGAAACTCGAGCCGTTGAAATTTCTTCATCCGCGAGTTGCATATACTATTTTTTCTAAGAAATTAGGAAATAAATGTTTGTTTATGGTAGGTATTTTATTTTTGAAATACATTAACTGTAATAGAACAATTTGTGCAATTATCACCAATAATATTTACACTTTTATCGTAAGTATTATTTGAACTTGTATCTTTGTTTAAACTTAGTTGGCTGCTTCCTGTATCAATAACTGCACTTGTATCAGATTCGAAAATGCCGCATTGGCAGCATTCAAAATTTCTTCAGAAACTTCGTCAGTCTCACTCATGTTCATTGTTTTCACTTGTGTAAACTAGCAGTATTAAACGTCAAACACTAACGGGTCGTCCAGCCTAGGCGTCATGATTTTCGAAGCGCGCGAAGCGGACGGTGCGGTCGGTGCAGGCGATACGCGACACGTTTCGCTAGCTGCGAAACGCTCAGGCTGGACGACCCGTTAAAATCGTAGACGGCCGAGTATTTTTCCACTAGAGGGTGAAATGAAATTTCATCCACTGCCAGCGATGGGAAAATGACAAACTTCAACCTTAATGAGTAGAAAAATAATATTAAGGGTTGTGATTCTGTCATCTTTTTACTTGTCTATTTTAGCGTCCATAATTTCCACTTGTTCGTTCATTTCTTCTGTTTTTGCAACCATTGTCTCATCTCTTGCGCCCATTTCTTCGTTCATTTCTTTATTTCTTGTGTCCACCTGTGCGGCATAGCCGTGATGTGCTGTACTTGTTTCTCCATTTTTACAACTTGAGCTGTAGTATCAACAGACATCAGTCTTCAGAATTCTTATCCAGTCTGCTCGTAAATCATCATAAAACGACTTATTAAAATCGGCATGGGTAAAACTCAACAGTGTACCTATTCTTCAGTAATACAAATTTATACGACTAACTATCCAGCGAAAATATTCTAATTCAACTTAATTCAAACTAATTAATCGACTCCTGGATTAGACTAGACTAGTTTGCTTCCAACACTGTTCCCTATTTAAACAGCGGTAGGCTTCTTCTGGAAAGATCGTGAATGCCGTTTTCGAGGTTGTTCTGGACTCTGCTATCGAGACATCCGGCACCACATCCAGGCGTCGCCTTCACCGATGATGAATTAATGAGTCACCGTACATTCTAGAAATCCATAGGCGTCGCACCGGGGCGACGTAGGGGTGGGTTACTTCGTAACAATATTATTTCCTGCCCATACATAATGTAGTATATTCAGTGTGATAACCCAAACATCCCGCCTTAAATTGACATGTGAAAAACAAATTGAAAACCCGCGAAAAATTTAAAAATTCAACATTTGGCCTTGGCTGTGATCATCTAACAAAATGGAACCCTACGCATGGTACAATCTCTAGTACAAGTAAACATGGTATGGACATGCGCATGTTGTCATGACGTCAGGTGGCTGTTCGATAAGCGTGTGAAATTGAAATCTACATTTAAAACTGGTTAACTATGTATAGCTGCTATTTTAGAATATATGTATGACCTACGCATAAAAGTAAATTATTTAGAAATTTAGCAAAGGTTTTTTTCTGTTAAAACATTATTTGTGACAATGTCATCCCCCTGCCTAATAAATTCCGATAGTACCGGCATTTTTATTACCTTTCGCCATTGTCGTTTTTATATTTTTACTTCATGACTGCTTTTACGTTCAAAACCATGGATTTTAGATGGTGCCAAAGCCTGCAGACTTTTTAGTAATGATACAACGTATGTACGCATAATACATATTACAAACAAATTAATATTTGACAACTGTCAAATTGTGGCTGTCTCTCGAAAACCATTCATTCCACGTGACGTCACGCAGTTGGTGCGCAGAAAAAGCTCGATTTGGTTCGCGGGATGTCCACCATGTTTACTTGTACCAGTGACTATATATAGTATTATATAGTCACTGCTTGTAAGATGTCTCAAGGTTGGAAAAGTACCGCTAATAAATAAAACACAAAACTTATGGAGGTCACAAAATTATTTCGCATTGTGGGAGCAATACTCACGTAACTCAAAAACAGCATGTTTTGAGTAATGATGCTTTAAAATTCCCAAGTTTTTATACATTACTAGCTGACCCCGTGAACTTCGTTTCACCCACAACTTAATTTTGAATCTGCAAACCGAATGCTTTGAAATCTTGCAGATGTTTTAAACATCTGATAAGCATAATAAATTTTTATTCAAAATAATACTTCCTCCAAAAAATTGATGACGTCAGCCCAAAATTTTGCCAAATGAATCCTTTTTAAAATATCCAAAATAGGATGAGACTATACTTGTGATTTATCATTTTTATCATTCCATTCATATTTTTTAGTTTTGCTTATAGGGGGTGTCTAAAAAAAAATTAATCACTGAGTCAGTTTATTTTATTGATTGAATCAAGAATTGCAAAACTAAATTTTTAGATTTATTGCAGACGTTTTGAAGTTACTGTTTGACATTGTACGTTTTTAATTAAAATATATCTGTTTATCAAGCCCAAAAACTTGATGACGTCATCTCAAGATTTTGCCGAATAAATCCTACCTAAAATGTGCAAAATATCATCAGTATATTTTCGTAAATTTATCATTGCATTCATATTTTTTAGATTTGCTTTTACAGTGACAAAAAAATGTATGGATCAGTCAATTTATTTTAGAAAATAACTCAAGAGTTGCAGAAATGACATAATTAATATAATTCATAATGTTTAAATATGATAACTATTAATATGTGATAATTAAACCGAAAACCATTTTCCTAAGAACACGAGGTTAGCAAAAACAAATTAGTTTGTTTAAACATTGTTAAATTAACCCCGAACATGTACAATTTCTGAGCGAAGATATGAAAAATAATTTTTGCAATCTCATCGTGACGTACGATGACGCCACTGTCACGTCAGCCACCTGATAAAAGGTCACATTTTTCGGTCCTCTGCGTTTAGTTTTGATTTCGGTTTGGTGGCAGCAACATCAGAATCCGTTTTGGCTTAAAAGTAGGGCTCTTTTCACGAATTTCTAATTTATATATTTAAATATTAGTGAAAATGTGTTGTATTAGTACTGTGAACACGAACGAAAATGGATATTTTTTCGAAAAGGACCGAAAACAGGGTAAGTTCGAGTTCAGTTTTAATTTATCGGATTCTGTGATTCGTTCACTCGACAATATTTAAATTTTGGGAAAATTTTCGAAACGATTGAAATCGGTTGATCAAAGCTATACATTTTCACGACATAAATAAATAAATTTTAAACATAATTAATATCATTTATAATGTTTAAATATGATAAGCATCAATGTATGATAATTAAACCGAAACCCGTTGTCCTACAAGCCCGAAATTATTAAAAACAAATCAATTTGTTTAAACAATGTTAAATTATCCCCGAAAATGTGCATTTTCCCGGCCAAAATATGAAAAATAAATTTTGCAATCTCATCGTGACGTACGATGACGTCAATGTCACCTGAGCTACTTGTATAAAGGTCACGTGTTTCGGCCCTTTGTGTTCAGTTTTAATTTCTGTTTGATGGCGGCAAGATCGTCGCTTCATTTCGGCGTAAAAGTGGAGCGTTTTAGCGAATTTCTAGTTTATTATTAATACATATTACGGAAAATATG